GTGGTTCCCAACATCTATATTAGGCAACTCAAAATCAGTTGTAACTCTAGCTCCAGATCTCATACCCTCTTTTGGACTCCACAGGCACCTGTACTCATACATACATACGTACGTACATACGTACGTACATACATACATATTATCTAAAAGTAAAAGTAAAAAATAAATTTTTTTTTAATCTTTAAAGACAGAAAAAAACTAAAGAAAGCCAAAACAAAACATTAATTGGGGGTGGGGAGCACAGTATGTGTTGAGGTAGTATTTTACCACATAGCCCTAACTGGTATGGAACTATCTACATAGACCAGGCCAGCCTTGAATTTGCAACAGTCCTTCTGTCTGTGTCCCAAGTCCTGAGATTATAGATGTGTATCACCATACCCAGCTTAAATTGGTCCTCTCAAAGTTATTTTCTTGCAAGGGACAAGAACACAGAACAGTAGAAAATAACTGCTCAATATTGGATGCTTAAAGATTACTTTTTTATTTTTGGTGTATGTATATGTATGTGAGTTATTATGTACATGTGTGTGTAGGAGTGGGCTTGTGCAGAAATCAAAGGAGGTGATAGAGTTTCCTTTCATTCTCTGCTTTATTCCCTTGAGATAGGGTCTTTCACTGAATGTGGGGCCATCCAACAAGGTAATCCTCCTATCTCTGCCCCCCCAATACTGGAGTTAAAGGTATTCATGCATTCATGCCCAGTTTTTTACATGGGTCCTAGGATCTAAACTCAGCTTTTTGTGCTTTGTGCAGCAAGAGCTGGTAGGCCCTGTGTACAGCAAGTATTACCGGCCCCAGATTACCATTTTATGAAAGGGATAAAGAACAGGGAATTTGGATGTGAGGGCACTCTGGCTGTGACATCTGTCACCCCATTGGTCGCCAAGGTTGATTCGGCTGATCTGGCTGGCTAGGCGGGTGTCCCCTTCCTCCCTCACCGCTCCATGTGCGTCCCTCCCGAAGCTGCTCGATCAATGGAAGAGGACAACCTTCCCCGAATAGAGGAGGACCAGTCTTCGGTCAAGGGTATATGAGTAGCTGCGCTCCCCTGCTAGAACCTCCAAACAAGCTCTGAAGAACAGGGAACTTTATTAGCTAATTGAAACTGGCCTATTTAGGACTTTGGCTGTCATATAATTGTGATGAAAGATCAGATAATAGCTTGGGTTTGGTTTAGTGATAAGACCTTTACTCTAAAAATGATAACATTTGCCAGGCACCATGACACAACTTTAATCCTAGCATTTGTTAGGTAGAGGCAGGTGGATCTCTCTGTGAGTTCCAGGTCATCCAGATCTGCATAGTAGGGTGAGAGAAGAAAGGGGTGACATTTTTAACCTATTAGGGTCTAGTCTAGGAACTTAGTCCAAAACAATAATCATATGTCATGCATAATCGAATCTAACACTCCCCTGGCATGTTAGATTGGGAATCAAATCCCAGGACCTCTCTTGGGCCAGGTAAGCACTCTAGCATTTGCTATACATACCCAGTCCCCAATTCAACATCTTTTCAAAACCCTCTTAGGAAAAAAACTGTGACCCCATTGCATGGGTGAGAAAACTTAGGCTCCAAGAGAACACATGTGCAGCCCAGAGACACAGCTAGTAAATGTGGAAAGGTCCCAGTGAACTCGAGTACTTTGCGCCATGTTCTACAGCATTGCTATATGCTGTTGTGTCCCCCTCCCTGTCTCCTGCCCCTGTGTGCTGTGTGTGTGTCACTCTGTCTGTCTCTTGGCTGTCCTGCCTAGGGTCTCTACATAGTCTTGCCTTGTAGCCTAGGCAGGCTTCCAACTTGTGACCCTCCTGTCTACCCAACTTGTACCAGTGTTTAGAAAACCGATCTTTAACATATTTGCAAATGAAAACTGTAAGCATTTAAATGCTTTGTCAAATACTGTTCCCTAAGTGACTTCCCTCGTCCCTCATGAATCTTTTCACATTTTCTTTGAGTTGTTTTCTGGTCAATTAACTCGTGCCAGCTGGTAATTTCAGTCTAGCTTTCTTAATAGAGAGAAACAAATACAGAGAGCAGTATGACCTGTAGCCACTGCAAAGGAGGCAGTTTCCAATGACAACTCCGAGCAGCGAGACAGACACCAGCAAGCAGGTGGTAGATGCTGACTCTTCCTGCCTGCTGGCAGCTGCCTGGGGGAGGTGCTTTTCTGTCATTGTTTATAAATTGATAATAATGATTTTACTGTGAGAATTGGAAGGTTATCTGGCCACAGGCTAGGCCACAAGGCCAACTTTCAAAGTGTGACCTTCACTGTTGAGATGAATTTTACCTTTGTTCTGGATTCTCTGTATCCTTTGCTTATCTATGTCTTAGAAGTAAGAAGTATGATCTGGAATCTATTAAGATGAGATCCTTAAGAATGACTCACATGCTATTGCAGTAATGGCCAGTGCCAACAGTCTGCTCTGTGCCAGGTGCTGCTACAGCACTTGGACACTCAGGACTCACTTCATCCTTAAAGCACTCTCCTGACTGTGCACTGGAGTGTCTCTCCTTTAAGTGATATGCCCAGTCTGTGCTTCCCCAGGGTACCAGAGGGACCATCGTCAACCAGTCACCTTGCTCTTTTGTGTTTACACCTTTTAAGAAGTTCGGGAGCATTCACAGAAAGTTGAGGCGGGAGAGGTATAAGTTTGAGGCCAGTTTGGGCTACTACTATCAAAATGCTCTAGGGAAAAGGAGAAAGTCTTGGGCTGATGATGTAACTTAGTGGTTGAGTGATTGATACAGGGTTAGATCCTCTGTGACCCCCACTCCCCAAGGGGGAGGGAGTATTTTAGTATCACCTTTGTAAACTTCTTCACATTTGGAACTGAGTTGTCTGGAATGAGTTAGGGATCCAGTTCTGTGTTACCTATATCCAGCCTCATGTACAGCAAAGGAACTGTCTTGAGGCCAGGTGCCCGTGGTTAGAGCACAGACTTGCCCTTTAGGACTTGGTTCCTACTCTATTTCTGAGTTTCTCCCCTTTTCAAATGGGTACCTTTCAGAATTGGGAGGTGTTACTGGGTATTCAGTAATTTCCAGTTTCCAGTGTCAGCTCTCCTCTTACAGGGATAAGATGTCTCTGTGGTTACTCTTCATGGGAGGAGGACACACTGGCCCCAGGCAGGACAGGAGTCAGATTAAAGAGAATATGTTCTATTTAGTTATTTTATAGAGATAGAATTCTAACCAAATTATGATCATTTATAAACATTCATATATTGAAAATTATTGTGGTTTCTTTATAAATGGTTGAACTTTGATTCTAGTCTCTTAACAGTATTTTTAAATTTTTTAGACTTATTTTTATTTTCTATGTATGAGTGTTTTACCTGTGTGTATGTGTTTGCATAGCCAGTGAAATGGCAAATGGTTGTGAGCCACTGTGTAAATGCTAGGAACTGAACCAAGGTCTACAGCAAGTGCTCTTAACTGTTGAGCCAGCTCTCCAGCCTTCTCTAACAATATTTTCCCCAGTTTGATCAACTTCTTTTTTTGTTTTGTTGTTACATTCATTTAGGGGGGGGGTGACTGTATACAAACATGCCACAGCATGTGTGGAGATCAGAACAACATTATGGGGTCAGTTCTCTCTTTCACGAGGTGGATCCCAGGACTAGAACTCGGGTTGTCAGCCTTGGCTACAGTGTGTGCCATTACCCTTAACTCCCAGTATGATTAGTTTTGATCTCACAGATTCATAAACTTGAACATGGGGAAGCTTGCCTGAAGATTCTCCATATCTCTGTTCCATATATTCTGTGGTAGAGTTTGTGCTTAATTATTGGACATAGATAAGCAGAATGGTATTGTGCACTTTAGCTGTAAGATCCTAAATATCTTGAAGCACTGAAGAGCAAGATTTTTGGAACTATTACTGAAGCTCTTCACACTTTATCCATTTGGGACTTGGGCTGCCTCTCCCTTCTCCATCTCCAGCTACTGTCCTTCTCAAAGGTGAATCAGTGTGGGGAAGAAGTAATGCAAAAGGCATTGTACTAGTCTGTCAAGGGTTTTGTTTCTTGCTGTGCTCAGAATGGGAAGCAGGGCTCTTCCACTGATCTGCATTCCTAGCCCCAACATTCAGTGTCATTGAAATAGGAAGAAAAGAATAGTGGTTTGTTGCTGATCTCCTGTTTTGTTTTCTCAGTATTAGGCATCACATTTGCTAGGCAAGTACTTCACCGCTGAAGTACACCTCTAGGGTGTAAGAACGCTGTCCTCCTCCTCCAGCCTCAGCTAACTAACTGCTTTGACATGTAGGAGTTTAAGCTCTCAAGTCTAAGCAGTTGTCCTTTCTTCCATTCCTTTTAGTGACACTCAACCATATGAAAAGATGGTGTGTGAGCTTTGTAGTTCCTTACTCAAGGTAAACCTTTTATTGGATAAAACACAAAATTTGGGCTCCAAAAGATCTAACCTTAGTCCCTGAATTGTTTCATCACTTCCCTCTCAGTGCCCCTGTCTATTCACGCTCTCTTCCTGGGTACACCACAGTAATCTTAACTTCTCAGTCTAGCCTCTGCCTGTCTCCCACGGCAGCAAAATGTCCCAAGAATAGAGAATGATCTCATTTCCCTGGGTGTGACTTATACAAAATCACTGTGATAACAATTGGATGCTTTTATCTCAGTAGCAACATATCTGTTCTTGCTGGCATTTTCAGGAGACCAGTGTGCGAGTGTGGCTCTGACGATTTTCATAGGATTACATTGAAAAGCTGACATGCTGTCTTACATAGATTTGCTTCTGAACAGAAGTATGCATAAGAGTGTGAATTAATTCATGCTTTCAACCCATGAAGGGAGCTTTGTTATTTAAAGAAATACTGTATAAAGATTAGACAAGAGGGCAGTAGGGCTTTTACAGGACAGGGGATGTACAGGTCAGCCATTTGTGCTGAAAGTTGAGCATAGACAGATTTTCAGCATATTTTGGCACTTTGAGTCTGTACTGCTTCTAATATCCATCTCTTGATTTTAAAATGTTAGATCGAGCGTTTGGATGTAAGCAGCCTCGCCCAGACTTCCAGTGCCGTGGCCTCCAGCACCGATGGCAGCATCCACCCAGAGTCTGTGGATGGAATACCAGACCCTCAACGCACAAAAGCTGCCATCGCACACCTGCAGCAGAAGATCCTAAAGCTCACAGAACAGATCAAGATTGCGCAGACAGCCCGAGACGACAACGTTGCTGAATACTTGAAGCTTGCCAACAGTGCAGACAAGCAGCAGGCTGCTCGCATCAAACAGGTGTTTGAGAAGAAAAACCAGAAATCTGCACAAACCATCCTCCAGCTGCAGAAGAAACTTGAGCATTACCACCGCAAGCTCCGTGAGGTGGAACAGAATGGGATCCCCCGGCAGCCCAAGGATGTCTTCAGGGACATGCACCAGGGTCTGAAGGATGTGGGTGCAAAGGTGACTGGCTTCAGTGAAGGTGTGGTGGACAGTGTCAAAGGTGGCTTTTCCAGCTTCTCTCAGGCTACCCATTCAGCAGCAGGGGCTGTGGTCTCCAAGCCCAGAGAGATTGCCTCACTGATTCGGAACAAATTTGGCAGTGCAGACAACATCCCTAATCTGAAGGACTCATTAGAGGAAGGACAAGTGGATGACGCAGGAAAGGCTTTAGGAGTGATTTCGAACTTTCAGTCAAGTCCAAAATATGGTAGTGAGGAAGATTGTTCTAGTGCCACTTCAGGCTCAGTAGGAGCCAACAGTACCACCGGGGGCATTGCTGTAGGAGCATCAAGCTCCAAAACAAACACCCTAGACATGCAGAGCTCAGGGTTTGATGCACTACTGCATGAGATCCAGGAGATCCGGGAAACCCAGGCCAGACTGGAGGAATCCTTCGAGACCCTCAAGGAGCATTATCAGAGGGACTACTCCTTAATAATGCAGACCTTACAGGAAGAGCGGTATAGGTAAGTTATGTGAAATTTAAAAGCCTAAATTATTTGTTCCCTTCTCTTTGAATATGGAGAAGTAAATTTAAAAGATATCTGTCTCTAGAGTGTCCAAAGTGTTCAGGTCTGTCTGTAACAGCCACAGGACTTCTACGTCAGTCAGCATAGTAGTTAGTGACTCCTATGATCACACACAGAGAACATTTCTTAACTCCTCCGTCTTCTATTCCAGTTCATGACTTTAACGTGAAGCTCAGGCTTTCCGAGGTATTTCTTCAATCCATTGAGATCATTCATGATGCATAGTCATTGAAGCCTTCACTGTACTGCATTGTGTTCAGAACATCTTAATCCTGAGAACTTTGTAAACAGCTAAAGATATAGCCCAGTCAAACTGTAGTGAACCTTGTGGGTATTTGGCTTTAAACATACTTATGTGAGCAATAGGTGTAGAAAAATTAGATTGGAAATAAATCCAGATAAATGTGTCTGTGACAGTTATTAAGAACTGGGACATTTGGATGAGAGTAAATATAGCATTAAGTCATTCTACTGCAGTTACAAAGTGCTCAAAGAGCTCAGTGTTCTTCATTCATTTCTGTACCAAAGTTCAGAGTGGGTCATTCATTCTTGCTGTAGGGATTGAACCCAGAGCCTTACCCATGACCACTTACACCCTATATTTATTTATTTTTGGTTTTTCAGTAGAGGGTTTCTCTGTGTAGTTTTGGTGCCTGTCCTGGATCTCACTCTGTATACCAGGCTGGCCCTGAACTCACAGAGATCTGCCTGGCTCTGCCTCACAAGTGCTGGAATTAAAGGCGTGCGACACTGCCTCCCAGCCTACACCCTATATTGAGTCTGGTTTTTCCACATGGCATCATAGATTTCTGATGGACCACTCTTATCCAGTCTCCAAATCTCTGTCCTTTCTTCCATGTAGAGAAATAATATCCTCCCCAGAGTAATCACTCAGATCCAAACTTGTGGGCCAAAGACTGGCAGCCTCATGCAGATCAAGAAACAATCTTGTGAGCTGCATCTCTGCACACAAAGCCTTGCGAGGCCTGAGCATTGGTCTTGTTCCACTTCGTAACCAGAAGAAATCTCCAGTACTTTACTAGACATTGGGGTTTGAACAAATGAATTCCCTTTCACCTCTTAAAAAGTAAAAGTGATGTTTTGAAACTTTACTTGTATGAGGTAACTCAGTGTCTGAAATAAATTGCTCATGTTTATCACTTAGCTCTAAAGACAACAGCAACAAGCTTGCTTCAAACGGTGAAAATGATAAGCAGCCATCCAATCCACCACCTTTTGTTAATTTTCTTCAGTTCTCATTGACACTTTGGGAGCCAAGGAATGTGGCTCAGTTGGTAGAGTGCTGAATAAATTGGTCATGGTATACATCTGTAGTTCAGTGTTCGCCAGGTGGAAGCAAAAAGAGCAAAAGCACTTACTGCTATTCAGGGGACCCAAGTTCAGTTCCCAGTACCCACATGATGTGACTAACAACTGCCTATATCTCCAGCCCCTGGGTTTATGATGCATTCTGTTGGCTCCCATGAACAAACATATAGCAGACACATAAAAAGCATGTAAATGAAACTACAAGTAAGTCTTTTTTTTTTTAAATCAAGGTCATCTGTAGGCCAACTTTTCTGTGCCACCAACCTCCCAAATAACCACACAGAGACTTATTATTAATTATAAATGCTCAGCCAATAGCTTAGATTTGTTACTAACTAGCTCTTTCAACTTAAATTAACCCATGTTTCTAATCTATGCTCTACCACATGGCGGTAACTTCTGTCAGGACAGCATGTTCATCTCCTGCTTCCTCTGAATCTCGCTGGTGACTCTGCCCTTCTCCCCAAGTCTCAAAGTCTGGCTCTCCCACCTAACTTCTTCCTGTCTAGGTATTGGCCAGTCAGCTCTTTATTAACAATGAGAGGAACACATCTTCATCTTCACAGTGTACAAAAGGATTATTCTACAGCAGTCATCCATAGGAAATATGAGGACAGCCTGGGCCACATAAGACTGTCTTAAAAAAATACTTTTTTTTAAAAAGAGAGTAGTATAGTGGCAGAGTGCTTACCTGACCACCAAAAAGAGGGTGAGAGTCCTGGCAAGATGGCTCAGCAGATAAGAGCACTGGCTACCAAGACCTGAGTTCAGTCCTCAGGACCTAGCTGGTGGGAGAGAGCGTCAACTTGCACAGGTTGTCTGCAGACCTCCATATGCACAAACTGACATGCACATATGTGTGTGCGCGCGCGCGTGCGCAAATGCGCACGCACTAAATAAAATGTAATAATGTTTTTTGAAAAAAGAAAAAGACTTGAGGGTGAAATAAGAGTGAGTTTAGGAATGTTACTATTCTCATCAATGCTATCTATATTTAATATACTGAAGATAGTGTTCAAGTGAACTGATTAAAATAAGATACTTGGTTCCTTTTTTGCCATATTAAATCTAAATCCCCAATTCCATTTCTGTTACTAGCTGTGAAAACCAGGTAGATTTATTAGCATCTGTATCGTAAGAGTAGCAAAAGCCCTGTACAAGATTGCTGCAACTTAGGGACTGGAGAGATGTCTCTGAGGTTAAGAGGACCTGAGTTCAATTCCCAGCAACCACATGGTGGCTCACAACCATCTGTAATGAGATCTGGTGCCCTCTTCTGGTATGCAAGCATACATGCAAGCAGAACGCTGTATACATAATAAATAAATAATCTTAAAAGAAAAAAAAAAAAACATCCTGCAAGATTGCTACAACTTGTGCAGGGCAATGCTGGCCCCACAGTGCTGCAATGATGTCAGGTGACCACTGCTGCTGAGCTCCAGCCCCACCCTCCAGAGGACCTCTGTCCATTATTTAAAAGATAAAATTAACACTCCTGTAATTAAATTCCTCTAGGGCTTAAAATTCCTATAGAGATTGTTTTCTTCAAGTTAGATGTAGGCCCGTGTGAGAAAAGGAGAGGGGGAACACATTTGGAAAAGTCTGCCTTCCTGTGTCTGTTGAGTAAGTCCGAGCAAGACAGGCGCTTCATCTCCTGAGACATCACCGCTGTAGAATTGGGTCTCAGCCCCTTCTGCACATGAGCAGCGAGCGCTCTCTCTTCATTGTACTTGGGAATCTCTGGAGTAGCCAAGCTACATAGTAGAGAGTGAAAACACCTAAATCCTGCTGGATGTCTAGCCCACTTGGTCACTCCTCTCTCGGCCTCACTGTGATTTTACCTTACAACAGAATCCTAAAGACTCCATTTGAAAAAGCCATAATGCCGGGTGGTGGTGCACGCCTTTAATGCCAGCACTCGGGAGGCAGAGGCAGGTGGATCTCTGTGAATTCGAGGCCAGCCTGAGCTACAGAGTGAGATCCAGTAAAGGCACAAAGCTACACAGAGAAACCCTGTCTCGAACAACGAGAGAGAGAGAGAGAGAGAGAGAGAGAGAGAGAGAGAGAGAGAGAGAGAGAGAGGAGAAAGAAAAAGAAAGAAAGAAGAGCCACAATATATGACTCCATTTTTTTTTGATACTGATAATTCCCTAGAAAGAATATTTAAAAAAAAAAAAAAAAAAAAGGCCTCCATTGTTTGTCTCCATACAGCAGGTACATTTTTCTAACATTGTTGTCTTTGAACAGTTTCACAGAAATAACACTCTTCTCACTAATGAAAACCTATTTTAGATACCAAACTTTCCACATTTTAAACATTTTTGGAGAATTCCTCTACTCGCCTTTGGCAAAATACCTTAGCTGAATGATAACAGCTGAGAACGGTAGCCTTCCAGCCAGGAGTGCTCTGGTTACAATGTCTGTAGAAAATGCTCCTAGCTGTTTGGTTGGTTGTTCGGCTTGTCTCCTTTACATATATATGTATAGTTTGATTTTCTCCTTTCCTACCTCATCCATGCTACACTGTCTGTTATTGAGCTCCCTGCAGCAGCCTGTCCACTAATTCTCCTTTTCTCTCCCCACCCCACACCCACACCCACCCTTTGGTCTTGCACATGCTAGACAAATACTCTAGCACTTAAGCTACACCTCAACCCATACTTTTATTTCTACTTTGTTGCAGGCTTTGATTTTATAGGGAAAAAAATAGGTGATATGTGAACTATATGACCAAGAATTAGTTAACTTGGACACACTGCTCCAGTGTCTTGTCTTTGGTGTTTCTGTGACTTACCAGTCCCTGAGCAGGGCAGCAACCAGTGTTTTACCTTGTTACATGATGGTGATGATAATGATGATTTACATATGATAACACTACCACTTTTAGAATTTGCTGAGCTGTTGAGATGCACATTCACTCACCCTCACAGCAACCTGTAGGTGGGTTGGGTTATCCCATTTTTACAGTTGAGGAAATTGAGGGTCAGTGGGGGAGGGAGTGGTTTGGGGTGGATGGGTGGGTGGGTAGTTGGTTGATTGGTTGGTTTTTCGAGACAGGATTTCTCTGTCTAGCCCTGGCTATCCTGGAATTCACTCTGTAGACCAGGTTGGCCTTGAACTCAGAGATCTACCTGCCTCTGCTTCCCAAGTACTGGGATTAAAGTTATAAGCTATCACCATCCAGCCAGTGTGGTTTTTTGTTTTTTGTTTTTTTCCAATTTGCTGAAGGTCAACAACAAAGGCAGAACTTTACCTCACTTCAAATCCAGTGTCATTTTTTAACCCAGGTTTTTCAAGCTCAACCCTGACATCTGTGTGATTGAAAACCCATTGTAATTTTGAGAAGCACTCATGACTGTACTAGAGGTGCTAGCAGGCTTCTCCAAGGTCAGAGTGTGTGTGTCTGTTTACTAAAGCTTGAGTTGCTGTTTTGAGTATAGTATATAAAATCCTGTGCAGTTTCTCAAAAGCTAATACAACAGTGTAGGTAGGTAGTGAGATCTCCTCGTAACCCAGCAGCCGCCGGCGGCGGCCCCAGCCTTTCTCAGCTGCTCTCTTAATGTGCTTCTGCTGTGTTCTGCCCCAGTCATCTCTGGAGAAGGGCCGCT